TACTTTCCTGCCCAGAATAGCTTTGAACTTCAATGGCTTTGCAACTCAGCCTCCTGAATAGCTAAGATTACGGGCATGAGCCATCATCAGCTCTCATTAGCCTTTTAAAGAATTTAGAGACTACAACAGCAAGTTTGAGATCAGCCTGAACTATATATTGAGCCTTGTCTCCCAAAGGAAAAAAAAAATAACTTCTTTAGAGTACATTTATGTTCTCTGAACTAAGGCAAAATAAATCTAGAAACCAATCATGTAACCTCTTTCTCTTTAAGCTCTTCTCCCTCTTCAAACTTCCAATGATACTTACTCAAGAAGAACTAAAAAGCAATCACCACAGATACTGATAAAGATGATGAAGAAATCCTCCATTAACCAAAGGATGAATATGAAACTCTACTACTTCTTTGGACTAATACCTTCTCTTTCTGATGGTAATGCCCAAACGCCTATTATAGTTTATATAGGCTTTCATTCTTTTTTTTTTGGGTGGTCGTGGGGCTTGAACTCAGGGCATGGACACTGTCCTTGAGCTTTTCTGCAAGGCTAGCACTCACCACTTTGAGCCACAGTGCCACTTCGAGTTTTCTGGTGGTTAATTGGAGATAAGAGTTTCATGGACTTCCCTGCCCAGACTGGCTTTGAACCATGATCCTCAGATCTCAGCCACCTGAGTAGCTAGGATTACAGGCCTGAGCCCTAGTACCTAGCTTAGGCTTTAATTCTAGTAACAGTATTTCCAAATGTTAGGAATATACTCTAACCCTTAAGAGCTGTTCTCCAGCAGCAAAGCTAAGAACTTTAATAACATTCAAGAGTCCACATATCCCAATTTAATTAATTCTAAGTGAGCCATATTTTCCATTGTGTTTCTACCATGATTTATCCTTGTCATCAAAATTTAATTCCCATTACCAGATTTTGCCATTTACACTTTAAACTTTTCTTACATTATTGGAAAGAATACTGTAATAAAGATGAAAGGTTGAGGGCTGGGAAGGTGGCTCAGTGGTAGAGTGCTTGCCTTGCATGCCTGAGGCCCTGGGTTCGATTCCTTAGCACCACATAAGCAAAAAGGAAAAAGCGGGAAGTGGTGCTGTGGCTCAAGTGGTAGAGCGCTAGCCTTGAGCTGAAGAGCTGAGGGACAGTGCCCAGGCCCAGAGTTCAGGCCTCATGACCTGACCCAAAAAAAAAAAGAGATGAAAGGTTGATGCTCCAAAGGTACTACTTATATATTTTAAAAAAATACAGAAGACAGAGCTTAAAACATTAGTGCCCTCCTACCTCCCTTAGATTGGAAGGCCCAGTCTAAGGCTGGTCCTGAAAGTTCAACAAAACATGCCTGGTAATGTGGCAATAACTAAACACCAAAGAGTCTATTGGAAACCACTAGAGGTAAGCTTTATATTAGCTTTTCAAATGGCTAAGAAAAACCAAAAGGAACTACATAAAGACATGTAGTGATGTCTCACTTATCATGGGAGTTACTTCCAGAGACGCCCACTATAGGAGAAAATCCACAAAGAGCAGCCTTATATAGTTGTTCCTGGCTATATCACTGTTCATTTAATGCTACTTTGTGGATTTTCACCTATCACAGACGTCTCTGAAATGTAGCTCCTACGATAGGTGAGGGATCACTATTTACATAATTAAAAAAACAACACCATACAGTGAAGCTGCAGTATGTAAACCGTGTTATAGCAAAGGACAACTGTGTAAATGTTCTACAAAGAACTTGGCTAAACCACTTTAAACACCATTCTTAAATGTAAGAGTAAATATCTAACTTTTCAGATAATAATGAAAATTTTGCTATGACCCAAGTCATCAGACAGATCATATATCAGTAATTAGACAATTATCTCTATCATATTAACCAATCCCAACTCCCTTGGCAAACTCAGGCAAGCTCAGTTCATTAATCTATCTGTATTTCTGATGTATGCTAGTACTAGAGAAATTGAGCTTTGGTATGTAAACTATACTCTGTTGAGATAAAAAGGTGTTGGTGGCTTAGGCACCTAATCCTAGCTACTCAGGAGGCTGAGTCTGAGGATTAGAATTTGAAGCCAACCCAGGCAGACAAGTCCAAGACTCCTTTCTCCAATTAACCATTGACCAATTATCCAGCAGAAAGCTGGAAGTGGAGGTGTGACTCAAGTGGCAAAGTACCAGCTTTGAGCAAAAAAGCTAAGCAAAAAGGACAAGACCCTGAGTTCAAGCCTCAGTACCACCGCACACAAAAAAAGTGAGCAACTAAACATTTATCACAGGCCTGGAAAGGTGTCTCAGTGGTAGAGTGCTTGCCTTGCATGCATGAGGCCCTAGGGTCAATTCCTCAGCACCACATAAACAGAAAAAGTCGGAAGTGGTGCTATGGCTCAAGTGGTAGAGTGCTATGCTAGCCTTGAGCTGAAGAGCTGAGGAACAGCACCCAGGCCCAGAGTTCAGGCCCCACGACTGACCAAAAAAAAAAAAGAAAAGAAAAAGAAAGAAAAATTCATCACTTTGCGAGGAGCTGATGGCTCATGCCTGTAATACTAGCTACTTAGAGGATCATGGTTCAAAAGCCAGCCCGGGGAAGGAAAGTCCAATATGACTGTTATCTCCAACTAACCACCAGAAAAACCAGAAGTGGCACTGTGGCTTAAGTAGTAGAGCACTTGCCTTGAGCTGAAGAGCTAAGGGACAGTGCTCAGGCCTAGAGTTCAAACTAGACAACCAACGAGAAAAACAAAATCATCACAAAGTTTTATTTGAGGTGTAGAAGCAGGGCCTCATGTATGCTAAGCAGCAACTTAGCACTGAGCTGCTATACCCTCAGCTCAGCACACACTAATTTTCATTCTAAGAGAATGACTGAATCAGTAAATAGGATAGGTAGACCCTTTCTCAGAATTTTTATTTTGGCAGTATTGGAATTTGAACTCAGAAATGTAAGTTTACTAGGTTGGCACTTTACCACCTGAGCCATACCTCCAATACAATTTGTATAGGTTTTCTTCAGAATAGGACCTTTCAAGTTTTTCTGCCTGGGCTGGCCCCAAACTGCAATCTTTCTGCTCTTAGCATCCAAGGACCTAGGATTACAGGCACGGTCCACAGCAACTGGCTATAAAAATGATTTTAACAATTAAGTTTCTTAAGCTATTTATTTAGCTAATTATTAAGCTATTTATTAAGCTATTTATTGTAAAGCTAATCTAAAACTCACCAACTTGTAGCACTGAAGTGAAGATGTAGTAGTACCCCTTATCTAAGGAGAATATGTCCCAAGACCCTCAGGGGGGCTGGGAAGGTGGCTCAGTGGTAGAGTGTTTGCCTTGCATGCCTGAGGCCCTGGGTTTGATTCCCCAGCACCACATAAGCAAAAAGAAAAAAGCCAGAAGCGGCGCTGTGGCTCAAGTGGTAGAGCGCTAGCCTTGAGCTGAAGAGCTGAGGGACAGTGCCCAGGCCCAGAGTTCAGGCCCCATGACCAGACCCCCTCACCCCCAAAAAAAAGACCCTCAGGAATGTGAAAAATTACAGGTATCAGATTGTACATATACTATGTTTATAAATTTATAAATTAGATTCAGAAGAGATTAGCAATTACAAGATAAAAGTACTACATTAATGCCCTACAATAGCCAGGAGCCGGTGTCTCACGCCTATAATCCTAGCTACTCAGGAGGCTGAGATCTGAGGATCACAGTTCAAAGCCATTCACGGGCAGAAAAGTCTGTGAGACTTATCTCCAATCCACCAGAAAACCGGAAGTGGCACTGTGGCTCAAGTGGTAGAACACTTGCCTTGAACTGAAGAGCTGAGGGGCAGAGCCCAGGTCAGAGTTCAAGCCCCATGACTGACCTCCCCCGCAAATACACAATAAAAATTATCACAATGCCATGTCTCTCTAAAAACATTTTACTGTACTATAAATCTTACTAACCAAAGCGTAAGATTTTTGTTCTTGATTGGGAATGTGGCTTAGTAGTAGAGTGCTTGCCTTGCATACATGAGGCCCTGGGTTTGATTCCTCAGCACCACATAAGCAGAAAAAGCCAGAAGTGGTGCTGTGGCTCAAGTAGTAGAGTGCTAGCCTTGAGCTGACAAGCTGAGGGACAGCGCCCAGGCCCAGAGTTCAGGCCCCATAACCAGCCAAAAAAAAAAAAAACAAACAAAAAAACCGCCAATGTCAGTCACTCTCACTCTTTCCCCTACTGAAAATCAGAGATACTAAGAACCGGCTAAGTCTAACTTCCAGAGCTACTTAGTTCTTCTAATGCATCCTATGAGCCTCCAACTACACTCTTGCTACCAGAAACTTAAGAGCCACATAAAAACTACATTCATAAGTATGTTCTGCCTCTCTTTTGGGCACTGGTCCATGTTGCTGAATGCATAGTATGTCTTCTAACCAAGAGTACTTCAGACAAGCTACAAATGAGCAGTTACTATTTCATCTTTTCACCAAACACTTCCAACTATATTTGAAAGGTTGAATCTGACGTGGACTGGACTTGGACACCAACAAAAGCATCATTCAATACTTGCAGCTTTTAGTCAAAGTGGCTAAATATTCTCTACATGGCAAGGCTGACAACACAAAGCCCTGAAAGGGGAAGAGACTTCATTTGACAACAGACTGAACAGAACTCAGGCAGACTAATTCTCAATTCTTTTTAAGTGTTAGGAAACATGGTCACACAAAGGCAAAACACAAAAGCAAATGGGTAAAGAAAAAAGAGCAGACCTGGAGGTACAGGTATACACAAGTGTTCTCTCTGTCTCTCCCTCAGCCTCCCCCACCCCCCCAATATACATAAATAGTTTAGGATAGAAAGTCAGAATGCTCACAGCCAAGAACATTTGCAAAAGGCAATTAAACCATGCTGGAATCCAGCCAAGAACAATACACAAACTCTTCTGAAAATTGTGGCTTTAGTGGTCAACACTTGAGCATCAGGGCAGGGTCTGTCTTGAACTCAGAAAATTAAATGCCTTCAACTCCCACTCACCTTTCCGCCTTTTATCACTGAAGTAAGGCCAGGCTGAGCTCCTGAGAAAATAGGTCTGGAGGTTCACTGAAGGACTAAGAAAAATTAAAAAGTTTACATGGCAAAGATGTCTCTTCTGCTAAACATCACAAAAGTATTTATGAATACATTCAGTATCTCTTTAGACCTCCTCGGAACTATTTAAAACCAGAATAACTTACCTAATTCTGACTGCTGAACAAAACCTACACACACACACACACACACACACATATATACATGTAAAATGAACAAGAGATTTAAAAGCTAGGCAAGTAATTTTCCAGCTCGACTAAAACCAGAGGTCATCTAAAAGGAAAAGCCTATTTTTTTTTTCAACGATAAGCCAAAACCAACCAACCTCTCAACCAGAAGCTAGAGTAGGGGAAGGGAGGAATCCCGGAGAGAATGTGATAGCACTAGTGCGGGTTTGTTTACAGAGACTCCAGCAACAATCATGAGTCAGAAATTCAAGCCACCAGATGCTTTCCAACTAACCGGCACCAAATGGGACTGTCCTAAAGTGTCCTAAAAGGCTTGGGGGAGGGCAAGCCGAAGCAGGAGGATTAACACACAAGAGGACAAGAGCCGACGACCACCACAGGCACCACGGGCTTCCCCCGGCTCAGCCTTCCGTACAAGGTGCGGGCCGGAGACCTGGGGTGGGGGATGGGGCGCGCTGAGCAGCGGCTCTGGGGGACGCGGAGACGGGGGAGGAGGGGCGAGCCGTGTCTCCCCCCCGTTAGAGGGAGCGATGGGGGGCAAACAAATGGGTCACCCGACGGAGCAAGACGTCCCTGGGAGTTTGGGAGCTGTCTCTCGGAGGCACCCACGGGGCTGACCTGAGGAAAGGACAAGCCGTCCTCCCGGGACTGACCCGCGGCCGGGGAAGAAGCCCTGCACCCCAGAAGCTGCGAGAGATGACCAGGCCCGTCCTGTGGTGAACCGGAGGGGGGGAAGGGGACAGGCCGGGCCGGAACGAGACACGGACCGGATAGGTCAAGGGGGGGTGTCCAGCCGGGGCAGTTACAAGCACGGGAGCCGGCGAGGCTCGGCGGCCCGCTTCCCGTCTTGGGTCATCCTTTTGCCAGCGGCTGCTCCGCCAGTTCCAGGCCCAGCCGCCCCGTCCACCGCCGCCACCAACGCCGCCGCCATCTTACACTGGCCAGTGGCCGCCACCACCGCCTCCGCTCTCTGCGCTTGCGCCTGCGCCACCGCGCTTTCCGGCCTCGTTTGCGACACTGCGCTCTTGAAGGCCGGGGAAGAGTGGTCGCGCGAGCTCGCGTCTCCCAACCCTTCTTGGAGGATGCGGAGGGGGCGGGGCTTAGGGCCAACAGAAAACCGCGAGGGGCGCGTGCGCACTGCCGGGCAGGCCCGGTTGTTTTCGTCCCGTCGTTCCGAGTTGGCGTCTTTGAGGGGCTTCTTTGCGTCGTCGCGGAGATCGTCGTCATTTCCAAGGCACTAGCCGGCCGATTCCTGAGTGACTTCCAGCCTCGCTCGTTCTTGAACTCTGGGCAAAGGCGATCCTTGCTGTATTTCTTCTGAAGCTGGTTTTTCTTCCGCGGCTCCCGGGCCGGGGAGGCCCGCGTCCCCGTTTGTCCTCCTCGTGTCGGGTTGGCGTGAGGCCAGCCCCGCCAGGCCCGGCGTCAGCCATGTGGGTTTTCTCCTTTTTTCAAGGAGGCTGGGAAGCTGTTCAATCTCTCTGCGGTGAGGGTGACTGAGAACGGACTGCCTGGCGCTGCACTGAATGTCTCCAGCTGGTTCTTTTTGTTTTCCTTTTCTTTACTCATGAGGCCAAAGTGCAGGAATTAGCCTCCTTACCATCCGTTACCGTCCTATGCCACGCAGTATATTACTTAACCACTTGCTGCAGTAAACACCTGGCTGGTTTGCCTACTTCCCTTATTAGCCTGCCACAGTTAAACATAGGACACCCAGAGTGACATTTTATTTATTTATTTTTGGGTCTGGTCGTGGAGCCTGAACTCTGGGCCTGGGCGCTGTCCCTCAGCTCTTCGGCGCAAGGCTAGCGCTCTACCACTGAGCCACCTTCCCAGCCCCAGAGCGACACTTTAAAATGTTAGATCATAGTCCCTCACTCAAAACGTCCAATAGTCTCCCATCATATAAGAAAGAAATATGGAAGCCGGGCGTTGGTGGCTCACGCCTGTAACCCTAGCTACTCAGGAGGCTGAGATCTGAGGATCGCGGTTCAAAGCCAGCCCGGGCAGGAGAGACCGTGAGACTCCTATCTCCAATAAACCACCAGAAAACCGGAAGTGGCGCTGTAGCTCAAGTGGTAGAGCGCTCGCCTTGAGCTGAAGAGCTGAGGGACAGCGCCCAGGCCCAGAGTTCAGGCCCCACCACCTACAAAAAAAAAAAGAAATATGGGCTGGGAAGGTGGCTCAGTGGTAGAGCGCTTGCCTTGCATACTTCAGGCCCTGGGTTCGATTCCTCAGTACCACATAAGCAAAAAGAAAAAAGCCGGAAGTGGCGCTGTGGCTCAAGTGGTAGAGTGCTAGACTTGAGCTGAAGAGCTGAGGGACAGTGCCCAGGGCAAGCGCAGGCCCACGACCGGACCAAAAAAGAAGAAAGAAAAAAATATATAACCTCACTGGCTAAAGTGCTGTAGGAAGAAATAAAAGGACTTGTTCCATTTTCTTGGAATGTCCATCTGCTAGACCTTTATTAGACTAGGTCTCTCCATTTAAATCAGGTTCCTATTCAAATAATAACTCCTAAGAGAGGTAGCTCTTCACTATTCAGAACTGCACACCCATCATTCACCTCTCTTTATTCATTTTTTATTTTTTAATATAGTCTCAGGGGCTGGGAAAGTGGCTCAGTGGTAGAGCACTTGCCTTGCATGCCCTGAGTTCGATTCCTCAGCACCACATAAGCAAAAAGAAATATACTAAAAAAATAAAATAAATAAATATAGTCTCACACAGACTGGCCTCTCACTTCTGACCTCAGATGATCCTTTCTCATTCTCTCCCTTCTCAGCCTCTCCCATAACTGGGATTATTACAGTGTACTCAACCACATTCAGATTGCATCACTTTTTTTTTTTTTTTGTAACATGATTTACCTATAACAACTTATAAGATTATATTAGGGCTAGGAATGTGGCTTAGAGGTAGAGTGCTTGCCTAGCATCCATGGAGCCCTTGGTTCAATTCCTCATTACCACATAAACTGAAAAAGCCAGAAGTGGTGCTGTGGCTCAAGTGGTAGAGTGCTAGCCTTGAGCAAAAGAAGCTCAGAAAGTGCCCAGACCCTGAGTTCAAGCCCCAGGACTGGCAAAAAAAAAAAGATATTTAATCTAGCTATACTAAATATAAGATCTTGAGAGAAGAAAATGTCTTATTCATCTTTGTAACCTTAACACCTAGAAAAAGGCTAGAGATGGGTGTGCCAGTAACTCATTACTATAATCCTAGGTACTCAGAAGGCTGAGATTTGAGGATCACAGTTTGAAGCCAGCCCAAAAATAGTCTGCAGTCTTCTTCTTTTGTTGTTGTTTAGTTATATTTTGGGGTTTTTTTTGTGTGTGTGTAGGTTGTTGTTGTTTTGCCAGTCCTGGGGCTTAAACTCAGGGCCTTGGTGCTGTCCCTGAGCTTCTTTTGCTCAAGGCAATCACTCTACCATTAAGTCACATTCTCAGCTTCTGCAGTACTCTTTTTTTTTGGGGGGGGGGGGGGCGCGTCCAGTTGTGGGGCCTGAACTCTGGGCCTGGGCGCTGTCCCTCAGCTCTTTAGCTCAAGGCTAGCGCTCTACCACTTGAGCCACAGCGCCACTTCGGCTTTTTTCTTTTTGCTTATGTGGTGCTGAGGAATCGAACCCAGAGCCTCATGCATGCAAGGCAAGCGCTCTACCACTGAGCCACCTTCCCAGCCCAAGCCTCTGCAGTACTCTTAACCAGCAAAAAAGCTTAAACAATGTACTAGCCCAGCAAGTAAGCTCAAATTCCAAGTACTAGAATTTAAAAAAAAAAAGGCTGGGAAGGTGTCTCCGTGGTACAGTGTTTGCCTTTGCATGCATGAGGCCCTGGGTTCGATTCCTCAGCTCCACATAAGCAGAAAAGGCCAGAAGTGGTGATGTGACTCAAGTGGTAGAGCACTAGCCTTGAGCTGAAGAGCTCAGGGATGGCACCCAGGCCCAGCATTCAGGCCCCTTGACTGACTGACAAAAAAAAAAAAAAAGGACTAGAGAGCAAAGTAGCTATTTAGTGTCACACCATCCTAATATATCACTTTCCAGGAATGTGGCAGAAGTGGTTAAAAAAAAAAAAAAACACACACACTTGCCTAGCATGTGCAAGGCTCTGGATTCAACCCTCAGTATTTCCAAAATCTTTGAAAGTGATATTACTACAATTTGTTTAGTCAGCTACTTACTGAATTCCTACTTCATGGGAACACTCTATCTTGCTCTAGGGACTGGAGCTACAACAGTGAATACAACAAAGACTCTTGTATTATTAATGCATAGGTTGACATTATAGGGGCAGGAGAGAACAATCAGAAAAAGTTACGGAGAGTACTTTAAAAGAAAAACAGTAAAAGTGGATTACCAAAGTGAATGTGTTCTTTTACTCTGAGGTTTGGAGAAGGCCCCTATGCTGGGGTGACAATGAACAAAAACCTGAAGTGGGAGAGTGAACCATAAACACATGGGGAATAAACATTCCAGTCATAGAGAATAGCAAGGTAGACATTAAAGCCTATGTGTTCAAAGAACAGGTAGGAAATTAGTTTGGAGAATGAGAGTCAGATTGCTTACAGATTCATGGATCAGGGAAGACTGGATTTTAATCTAAGAGCATGCTAGGAAGTTGCAGGGTATGATCTGATAAAGTGATAAGATCTGATAAAGAGCTTCACTCTGGTTAATGCATTAACTGCCTGAGGGTGGCAAAAAAAAAAAAAATGCTGAAAGACCAGTTAGGAAGTTATTGCAGAAGAGCTGCTGAAGCAAGTTGGATGAGGAAACAGGGAAATTAATATTAAAAAGGACCAATTCAGACATTAAAACCAAAAGTCAGCTGGGTGCCGGTGGCTCATGCCTGTAATCCTAGCTACTCAGGAAGCTGAGATCTGAGGATCACGGTTCAAAGCCAGCCCTGGCAGGAAAGTCCATGAGACTCTTATCTTCAATAAATCACCAGAAAACCGGAAGTGGCATTGTGACACAAGTGATAGAGCACTAGCCTTGAACTGAAGAGCTCAGGGACAGTGCCTGTGCCCAGACATAGTTCAAGCCCCACCACCAACCAAAACACAACACACACACACACACACACACACACACACACACACACACACACACACACAAACACACACGTCAAAACTGGAGGAAAATAAAAGCCAGACACCAGATTCATGCTTGTAATTCTAGCTACTTGGGAGTCTAAGTGTGGAAGAAGGATCAAGGTATGAGGCCAGCCTGAGCAGAAAAGTTTGGCAGTCCCCCTTCTGAACTGGACTTGATGGCATGAGCTTGTTATTTTAGCTAGATGGGAAGCCTAACATAGATCACATCAAGTCCCACCTCCAGGCAGGTAATGAGATCCTCTCTCCAAAAATAACCAACGAAGTCAGGACTGATGAGGTAACTCTGTGGTCAGAGTGCCTTAAGCCTGAGCATAACGCCCCGAGTTCAAACTCTAATACTGCCTCCCCCGCCACCCCCCAAAAAGGGAAAGAGAGAGAGAGAGAGAGAGAGAAGCAAAGAGCTTCCAACCATATTAACTTTTAGAAACCAAGCTACAAGAACTAGAGGCATAATGGGGCCAACACCTGTCTTCTCATTTGAGATGTTAACACTGTAAACTCCTTACAACTGGTAAAAAGACAAATGGAAGACATAGCTGGCAAAGGGGAAGCCTTAAAATCACTTGTTGTCTCTGTTTTAAGCAATCCTATCTCACATCTGTTTTAGAATAATAAATAGCAGCCATCTTTACCACCTAAAACCACTGTCTAATGTTTAAGGGTGAATTCTTTCAGCTCAAAAAGTACAGAAATAGGGGCTGGGAAGGTGGCTCAGTGGTAGAGCACTTGCCTTGCATGCCTGAGGCCCTGGGTTCAATTCCTCAGCACCACATAAGAAAAAAGAAAAAAGCCGGAAGTGGCGCTGTGGCTCAAGTGGTAGAGC